TAAGGTTTCTCACCAGTGTGAATTCTCTGATGTCGGGTAAAGTTTGAACCACTACTAAAGGCCTTTCCACATTCTTTACATTCATAAGGTTTCTCTCCAGTATGAATTCTGTGATGACGAGTAAGGTCTGAGCCACAAATAAATGTTTTTCCACATTCCTTACATTCAAAGGGTTTCTTGCCAGTGTGAATCTTCTGGTGATGTGCAAGCCTTGAGGGATGTCTAAAGGCCTTTCCACATTCCTTACATGAATAAGGTTTCTCAATAGTGTGAATGATTTGATGAGCAGTAAATTGCGAGCCATGTCTAAAGTTTTTCCTATATTCATTAGTTGCACAGTATTTCTCTTTATTATTAATAATTTGCTGTAATGTCAAGGATGGATGCTGAGTGAAACTAGGTACATCTTCATGAGTGATTATCAGTTCACTGAACTGTCTCTCCTGAGAACCATGCTGTTTCTCAAATTGGTCATGACATTCCCAATCATCTCTGAAACCAGAGCATTGCAGGTCATGTCTTGTAAGTCTTCCCATTATCTCCCACTGGGCTGACTCTATTTCATAAATTTCCTTCTTCAGAAATAATTTCTTGGTTTCACATCTTGATTCTAGGACTGAAGGAAAATATGAAAGAAATCACTAATCTTTTTATTATTTAGAAAGAATAATTCTCCAAACTGAATTTTGAAAAAGTGGATTAAAAAAGATAAAGTATAGAGATCATATGGGAAAACTGTTGTCAAGTATGTAATGCACAATAAATATTAAATATTATTGTGGAATAAGATTCTAAATTTGATAAGGAAGACTATTTGAAATCATACTAAATCATATGGCAATAACCCATACTGGAACTTTTCTGTGAAGGTAGTCAGCCTGGCAAGCATGAGGTCCTGAGTTTGATTGCTGGTACCCACCAAAAAAAGAATAAGATATTCCATCTAATCATTCTTTGTAAAAGTAGAAGACAGAATAAAAATAAGTCATATTCTCAGCAAGACTAAAACAGACATAGCAGTGATAAAATAAAGCAACTTAGTCAGGAATGCTAAGTTTACACCTATAATCCCAGTACTCTTGGAGGCTGAGGCAGGAGAATTCAAAGTTTGAGCCCAGCCTGGGCAACTTATGATACTGGGCAACTTATTTTGAGACCTTGTCTCAGAATAAAAAATGGCTTGGAATATAGTTCAGCTATTCTTCATTAATGAATGCCACAAAACTTGATGAGTTTTGAAGCAAAATGTTCAACACAAAGACAAAAAATTTTAAAAACTACAAACATACAAAAAAACATGAGATAAAAGAATGTTATTACTTTTTAGTAGGTATGATAATTTCCAATAAAAGTAACTAAAATATCAACTGCTAACATATCTATTTGTATAGGTGCAAGTGCATAGATGAAGCAAAGAAACAAAAAAGATGCTAACATAAATCAGAACTTAACACTTCACCAAGTAGGCAGGTAAAACAATGATGAAATGAGCAGCTGTTAAATAAAGGGTTTTAAAGTAAGATATGCATATATGGTGGCAGAAGGGTTGATTTAGATTCCCAACATATTTTACTGCAAAGGAAACTTAAAAGAGATAGGAAACAAACTGCAGGAAAAAAAATTACAAACAGGACATCTACAAAGTCTGTGGAAGCCAGTTAATTTTCTAAAAACAGAAATTACGACAACCATAAAGGAACTGACTACAAACACATTAAAATATCCCTATTAAGGATGCCAATCCAAATAAAATTAAAAGTGCCTTATCAAGTTGAAAGATAAATGTTTTTATTTCAGAAAGACCATAAAAACTGACTAAATGACTTGAACAGAGGGGAGGGGAATGGGAAAAAAAGAAGAATTAAGATATATCTGGTACAAATTCCCTATGATATCTGTTATCATTATATATATCTAAAATGTACCAATACATTAATTTTTAAAGTAACTGAAAAAATAAAGGTAGTAGTAAATATAAAGTATATAAAAGAGGCACAAACAAGTTAGCAAAATTGTCCACCCTTATAAGTACTTAATATAATGACACTAAAATAATCCAACATACTAAGAAATAACTGTAAATCTTATTAAGCATGATAACTGCATTAACACTACAAGAGCTCTTGGATCTGTTTGAAAATTCTTAAGCAACATTAGGGAGATGAAGCAAGTGTGGAATCTATGTTTAAGCAAAAATTATTTATTTAAAATAAAAATAAACCATTCCTAAAGTGTATAATGCAATGGATTTTGTTAAATATTCAAATATTGTGAATGAATATGCAACAGTTTGGAAACAACCTTCCTTCTGGGAATTGATTCCAACAAGCTAGGCTCCACCCCTTCCTTTTAATGCCAGCGGTAATGTTTAAGTGATGGTCTTTAAACTATCACTGTATCTCAACCGAACTAGCACAAAAGCCTAATAAATGGTCTGCTTCCAACCTTACCTCCTATAAAGCCAGAAGGGTGACCCTTTATTTTTTTGGTACCAGGAATCAAACTCAGGACCTCACGCTTGCCAGGCAGGTACTGTGCCACTGAGCTATATGCCTGGCCCAAGGGTGATCCTTTTAAAACATAATTTGGAGCACAGCAGTCCTAGTCTCATAGCTTTCTAGTGACTTCTTGTCTCAGAATGAAAAGACTTTTACAACGGCCCGGGTGGCAGTATATTAACTGACCAATTTCTCCCTACTTCTCCTTTTTGATCTAATCTCCCACTCATGTATGACTCATCCAGTCACTGGCCTCCCAGGCTGCTCCTCAAATAAAACCAATGTACCATTTGCCTTAGGGACTTTGAATGTTTGGCAATAGCCCTTAGCTGCAATCACATATAACTGACTTACTGTTGGACTTCTGTAGGTCTCTGCCCAAATGTTACCTGATCAGAAAGTTTCTCTCACTGATTCACATAAAATAGAATACTCTATCCCTTACTCTACTTCATTTTTCTTTTCAGCACTTATCATTACCTGATATATTGTACAGCCATATGTTCTTGTAAGTCTCCCTATAGTGGGCAATAAGCTCTCAAAAAAAGATTTTGTATGTTTATTACCATAACCTCAGTGGTGAGAACACTGTTGGACATACAACAGAAGCTCAATAAGTTTATATCAAATGAATGTGTTGTCCTGTTCTCCTCCTTCGTACCAAATCTCTCTATCTTTACATTCTGTAACTTCTCCATAGAGACAAAGGTCTTTTATTTCTAACTCTCTATCTAAAGTCAATGATATATATTCCCAAGTCTCTTCTATATACATGAAGTCATCCCCTACATCAATTCTCATTTTTTGCTAAGCTCCCTACTTCAACTTTTTTTAGTATGGTTGTACATGAAGAAGTTATTGACAAACAAGTTGTAGCACTCCCAGCAGACTAAAACTGCTTATTCCTTTTTCAAGCTCTGCAGTACCTAGTTAAATACCTCATGCATGTTAGAAAAAATTCATTAAATTTTGATTTAAATTTTGATTAAATAATAATAAATATTTATTAAAAGTATGAATGAATCAGGGTTTATAACTCCTGAATCAATACAAAGTAAAACAAAAAACTCCTTTAAAAAAGCAAGTCTCTGACAATGTAAAAAACATTTATTTCAAGAGAGTGATTCTTCATGGGACTGAATACAAGAGGATGAGAAGCTGAAGAAAAATCTGGATCCAAAATATGGATAGAAAGGAATATCACTAGAAAGGGTAGAGTAGGGCACCAGCTAGTTAGAACGAGGAGAGAACTATAAGAGAAGAAAAGCAGGCTAAGTGTGTTAGGTAAGGGGAAAGGGTAAGTTAATCTGAAAAGGTGTTATGTTTGCTTGCACAACAAGCCAAAAGCTTTTGAAGGGATATTTCCAGATAGCATGTGAAGAAAGCAGTCTCTCCACTGTCCAACTGGAAAATTACCTGCTGTGCTCACTTACCTGGCCACTGACTTCCTGTTAGCTCTCTGCCAACCAACCAGGGATCCTTTCCTTGCTCCAAGTAGGAGATGATATTTGGTTTAGAAATGCAAAGTCCTGCTTACAAAAAAAGTAATGACATAAATGTATGATAAAAATGTCTCTGAATTCAAATCCAGACTCTTCATTGTAAAGAAAGACATTACAGTAATAGTCAAAGAAAGGTACAACAGACTAATGAAACATTAAGAGATTTGAAATGTCTTCTATAACTCAATGTAGCTTCCTTCTTCTAACTCTACAATGTTCAGAATATTCTTGCAGGAATAGGATGCAGAAATCCAACTGGTATTTGAAAGGTAGCTGAGCATTTCACATTGGAGAAAGTAGACCTTCCAAGGACAGATTCTGAATTCTTATGGACAGGTGTCCTTACCCATTGAAACCAGGTTGCTGTAATTCTCCAACATCACATCTCTGTATAAATCTCTCTGATCATCAGTCAGGCATTCCCACTCCTCCTGAGAGAAGTCAATGGATACATCACTGAACAACACTGACTCCTGAAACAACAATCATGTATATGGCTTGATTAATAAAAAGAGTTTCATGTAGGAAAGAAAGAAGAAAAAGATTAAGGTACAGGAACTGAAATATAGTGAGCATATGAATGCAAGAGGAAAACTTAACAAGCACTACAGAATCACTGTATTTCCAAGTCCTTCTGGTCCTTCCAGACAAAACTGCCTGTGTTTAGTGGGACACTTCCGTTATCGAAACAAGGGAAGGAAAAGTCAAAATCCAGCTAAGAAGAATTGTCAATTAAATGAAATTACTTACACAATGTTTGGCACAATACCTGCCATATAATAAATTATCAAAACCATGTGATCTTCTTTCTCCTCCCCTTTTACCAAACAGCTAAGAGTAAAATTTCAGAATAAAGGATAAAGACAAGCCATTAAAAGCACTCATAAAGGACAGTAGATCATGTAAAAGGCATCAAGAATCAGAGGAGCAATGGAATTCTTAAGACCATCTCAAAAAGCAAGAGATTATATAAAAACAATTCTTCAACAGCCCAATGAAAAAATAATTTCTGACCTAGAATTCTATACCTAAACTATCAGTCTGTTCTGATAAAAGAATCACATTCCAAAAATAACATTCCTAGACATACAAAGACAATGACATTCCTAGACATACAAAGACTCAAGCACAATTTCCTAGGAAACTACCAGAAGATGTGTCCCACTAAAATGAGGACTTAAACCACAAAGGAAGATGACATAGGATTCAGAAAATAGAATGGTAAAAGAAAGTCTAGGGACATCAACAAAAGGAAAGTCTCAGGAAAGCTGTACAGCATGCCTAGACAGTAAGCAGATCAGATTGGAGCAAGGAGACAAAGGAATAGGGAGAAAAGCCTTGGTGTTCAAAAGGAACCTATGTATCTGACCAAATAAAAAAGACTAATTAATTGATAACAAAATACACAAATAACTAAGTAAATAGGGGGGAAATGCAATTAACCACAGGAAAATGAAATGCTGTTTATATTAGAATAAAGCCATGAGCTGTCCAAAATGTCTAAACAGTAAGTAGTCACTACACCACTTTCCTTAGGAGTAAATTTCAATCACTTTAAAAAAAATTCTAGCCAAGTGTGGTAGACACCTCTAATCCCAGCACTCAGGAAGCTATGGTAGGAGGACTGAC